CCACCTCCAACACCAGGATAACAAACTGCTTCCTGGGACTAGACTCCACATCCTAAAGCCAGACCCAAACTTCCCAAGACAACATCACCTGCTGGAGACCACAAGTTCAAACACAAAAGTGTCTACAGGGGACATTTCAATAGCATATCATAGGAAGGTGTGGCTACACTTTAATAATAGTAACAACAGAAATGATCACAAGGATATCATAAGGGCCCCTAAAGCTCTATGTTCTATTGGGTATAGACTCTGATATCTATCCGTAAGAAAGTGAACCAAGAGGATGTTCCAATGGCCTTTGCATGTAGGATCAAAAATTCTGTGGTATCATCTGGTGTTACAGACCACAACATATCTACTACATTCAAAGTCTCCATTCCTCTCTGTAAAGTTGGTCTGGTGTCAAAAGTCTGGTAGCCCCTCACTGGCATTGTGATACTATAACAAAGTGTTCTGTTTCCCAAGACACCTCAGGACAAGTTATTACTGTCAGTGGTACTGAGGGGAAGAGAGTTTGATCACATCTCTCCCCCAAGAGACTCTCAGATTTCTCATCAGAAACCTAGAATCCCAGGAGACAGTAGGCAGACATCTTCAGGATGTTCACAAAAGAAAAACATCAGCATAGAAAAATCTATTAATATATATTAATACCATCAAAATAGCATATAATTCTAATTTTTGAACAAAATTATAAGGACTTTGAACCACTTTACTTAGATTTTCTGATTTGTAACCTGCCTTTCCTTGTTTGTTTGCCTCTGTATAAAATGTAAGGGCTCCAGAAATGGGTGTTTCCCTTAGAATGTGAGGCAGAATTCAATCAGCTCTCTTTATACGTTGAATTCTATTGTTTTGGGGGTAGTTTCCGTTCATCTCTCCAAATAAATTACTGCAGTCTCATTGCCGAGGTTCACTTTTTGCCCATAATTTGTCTATGTCATCCTTAGTTGAAAGTACTACAATTTCTGCTGGGTCTATTCCTGCTAATTGACAAAGTCTCAATTTTTCTTTTAAAATCAGCTCAGAGATCTTTTCCACATAGGTTTATAATTGTTTACTCTGATTATTTGGTAGAAATATCCATTCCAATATCATATCTTCCCTCTGCATTAAAATTCCTGTAGGAGAATGCTTAGAGGGTAAAAATAACCAACATGCAACCATGCTTTGGATCCATGCAATTCACATGTCCTTCTTGCACTTTCTTTTCCACCAAGGCCAATTCTCTCTCAGCTGCAGCTGATAATTCTTTGGACTATTTAAGTCTTTGTTGCCATTTACGGTTTTGAACAAATTACTCAGTTCATCATTCTTTAGCCCAACGACAGTTCATAGATGGGAAATGTCTCCAAACAATCTTTAAAAGTCATTAAGAGTCTGTAATCAATCTTTCCTAATTTGGACCTTTTGGAATCTAATTTTTTGTAGACCTATTTTATAACCTACATAATTAATAGAATCACTTTTTTTGTATCGTTTCAGGAGCAATTTTTAATCCCTAGCAGGGCAAAATTTTCTTTACTTCTTCAAACATTCTTAGTAAGTTGTCTGAATTTGAATCAGCTAGTAAAATATTGTTCATGTAATAAAAAAAAATTATAGATTTAGGAAACTGTTTACATATTACTTCCAATGGCTGTTATACAAAATATTGGCACAGAGTTGGGCTATTTAACATTCCCTTTGGGAGGACCCTCCATTGATATCTCTTAATCGGCTGAGAATTATTATAAGTAGGAACAATGAAAGTAAATCTTTCTCTGTCTTTTTCTTGTAAGGGTATTGAGAAGAAATAGTCTTTTAAATCAATAACTATAAGAGGCCATTGTTTAAGTAATAAAGTTGGTAAAGAAATTCCAGACTATACAGTGCCCAATGGCTGATTTACTTCAATTGCTGTTAGGTCTTTTACCATTCTGCATTTACCAGATTTCTTTTTAATAACAAATACAAGAGAATTGATTCTTCAATATGCTGAGCATTTAACTGCTCTTGTGCCAGTTCTTACAAGGCCTGCAGTTTCTGTTTTTAAAGGCCTTTGCTGAACCCATATAAGCTTATCTGCTAACCATTTTAAAGGCAGAGCTGTTGGTATCTTTGAAAGATCAGCAATTGTGTCCTGTTCTTGTAAAATCTGGATGGCCGGTGATTGATCTTTATTATAATACCTCGTAATATTTCTCTCAGAAACATGCGTTACTTTATAGTTTGTTTCTGAGGTTGGAAGAATGTTAATCTGAGTTTTCCATTGTTGTAATAGGTCACAGCCCCATAAATTCATAGCTACATTAGCTACATATGGCTTTAATTTTCCAATCTGTCCTTCTGGCCCTATACATTCCAGCCATCTTGTGCTCTGTTTCACTTGAGATAATGTTGCAGTCCCTAACAGCTTAACATTTAACTCTTGAGTAGGCCAATTTGGATGCCAAAATTCTGGTGCAATTATTATGACATCAGCACCAGTGTCTATACGGCTTTCCAAGAGAATGCCATTTATTCATATTTTTGGTCTTTGTTCATTTATAGAAGTTTGAAAAAAATGCTTTATTATTTCTCCTGAATTTCCTGTTATCTCTGCTACAGCTGTTCTATCACTCTGAGCAGCCAGGTTTATTCTCATAGGCATTTGGTTATATAAATCTTCTGAGAAGTGGTTTTTTCTATGATGGCAGGAAAAGTCTGAACTTAATTTGCCCTGGAAGCCTGCATGAGGCCCCTCAGGGAGTTTCGCTGCTGCAGAGGCAAAGAATTACCTTGTTTGTCCCTAGTTGATACACATTTGTTGGTCCAATGTTTACCCTTACCACACCTTCTGCATAATCCAGAAGGGAGGCACATTCTATTGCCATTGTTCCTGAAGAAACATTGTTTCTTGAAATGCCCTGTTTACAATCCCTTTTCAGATGACCTTGTTTACTGCAATTAAAACATCTAACACTATTTTTCTTTAAAGGTCTTAATATAACTTCTCCTATCCACATATCATCATGGTCATGAGACTTAATATTAATTGTGTCCTTGATCTAATCCTCCAATGGTGCTGATTGTGCCTTTAACAGCCTGATTATTCTTTGGCATTGCTGCAGTTGCATTCTCAAAGGCCAAAGATTCAGTGATTATCTGTCTAGCTTATGAATTTGGTATCATTCTATTTACTGTCGAAGACAGCCTTTGTAAGAAATCCATGAAGGATTTTCTGTAGCCCTGTATGACTTTTCTAAATGATTCAATTTTCTTCCCTGCTTCCTCAATTCTGTCCCACGAATTCATGGCTGCCATGTGGTATAGAATTAAGATTTGGTTATCATATAAACATTGTCTGTGGATATCACCATAATTGCCTCTCCAAGAAGCTGATCCTGGGAAATTTCCACACCTCTAGTCCTACATTGTTGTTCTATTGTTTTACCTTCCTCTTTAAACCAAGTTCTCCATTGAAATTGTGGACTGGGCTCTAGGACAGCTATAATTAATTCTCTCCAGTCCTGAGAAATAATTCTATTACAAGTTGACCATGAGTTTAACATCTGCTTTACAAATGGAGAATACATACCATAGGATACTATAGCTTCTTTAAATCTCCTCAAATATAACATTTCCACTAGAGTCCAGTTAGCTCATACACCCTTGAGCATTTGGCAGTTCCTATAAGGTTACCAGGTAGATTAATATTTGCTGTCTGGTAACCTGAGGCTGTTTCTCAGTAACCATATAATTCAATGCCAAGATAGATTCACCGTTAATTTCTTCTGTCTAGGTTTGAATTTCTCTGTAATTCATTTTCACAGGTTTTCCTAAACCTTTTATCTTGGCACTCAAATTGACCAAACTTTTAAATGCTAAATTAAAATGATCAAACAAATAATATTCATAAATGATGTTATGTAAATCCCATCAACATTAATTATCCTCTCATTTAATTGTTCCATTTTCAAACTGCTAATGTGTTATCAAACAGAGACCAAATTCTTTCCATTGTACAAATATTTCTCATTTTTTAATGTGGAAAAAAATTCTCTTTTAACTAATATCTTCCTTTAAGATATCTTAATTGACTTACCAAGTCAGTCAAGTGCATAGAACAGAAGTCCAAGGGGATTTCAGAGCCGCTACCTAGTGTTGTACTAGTCTGAAATGGGAATCCAGAGAGAGTCCACCACTCACCAGGAGAGAAAAAGCCAAAGAGACTCCAGCCCGCATGGGGTGGAGATCTGGCCTCGTACAGCTCCAGCCTGAGTCAGGGGCCTGCAAAGCCACAAGCGGCTTTTTTGTAAATCTGTGCCCCACAAGTTGCACGCCAAATGTAAAACAAGTCTTAAAAGGTCTTTATTAAATAAAAAACCCAGAGCCAGACATTGGGGTACAAAGCTGAGAGATCAGAAAATTAGAAAGAAGCCATCCATGTTCTTACCACTTGGAGATCCTCCGCCAAAGAGACCTACTTCCTGTGTACCCAAGCAATTTATGCCTTTCTGTTCTGCCATCTCATTTCCTCTCTGCCCAACTATATCACTTTCTTTCCTTGCCCAGCTTTGTCACTTCCTGTCTGTCTGCACAGACCTCCAGACCTTTACGGTTAACTAGTCTTGGAATTTACGATGTGTGCCACCTTGCCTGGCTGTGTTCCCAGTGAGGCCTTGAACTCACAGAGATCCAGATGGATCTGTGCCTCCCAAGTGATAGGACTAAAGGTGTGTGCTACCACTGCCTGACCTCTATGTATACCATTAGCTGGCTTTTTCCTCTGAACAAACTTTATTGGGGGACACAGATAAAATATTACCACAAAGACTAAAG